CCAGGAAGAGATGCGCGAACGCAACTGCACCTCGATAATCGGTTGCCGCGCGACAAGCGTGATTGAGATTAATTCTTATCAGCTTTATCGCGATCACTGTGAGATTCCGTTGCTTCTTCGTCGACAGGATGTTTGTAAGATCAAAATGTTTAAAAAGAACGTTGCGCCACTGATTTGAATGTTCATAAACATTTCAAGAACCAGAATCTACGATTCTTTTTTGGATTGGGATTTCCAATAGAGTATTTACAAAAATATGTTCGCAAAAAAACATTACTGATCTGAATTCTCATAAACACTCCAACCAAATGTTTTTTCGTAGAAAAATAATTAGATTAGGTTCCAATTCGATCTCTCATTGGATCTCTCACAATCAGTTCCAATTAAATCCAAGAAAGTTTTTTGTGTAGAAGCAGAAAAAATTTTATCAAGTATTTCGCGCTTAGACTAATGGTGGTACGAACTCGATAATAACTTTTCTCAGTTGGGCGTTTTTGGTGGAGAGAAAGAGAGAGAGAGAGAGAGAGAGAGAGAGAGAGAGAGACGCGAAATTCGGATGGAGTTTCGATCCAATAAGAAAAGAAAAGAATTCAATTTATTTCTTTTTCCAAGAATACATAAAAATGATTTAATAATTTGATCAATTTCGAGGTTATTAATTCTGAGCGATTTAAATATAATGTAATTTTTTATAAAATGCAAGAAATGGAATGGTATTGGAAACTTGGAATGATATTGTATAATCCATTAATACATTAATCTTAAGATTCTGAAACTCTTACACAAAACCGAATAAGTGCTATATTTTTTTTTATCTTATACGTAGATAATACGTGCAGTTAGATGTGTGTTTCAACTATCATAGGATTCCCTTCTTTTCTCATTGCATCATAATTCAAGAACTATTTGGGTTCATATTTTTATTGGAGGTTAATCATTTCAGTTTTTGCCAAGAAATATTGCTTTGTTTTCCAAACATGCTCACCAAACACAATGACAAATCACTCATAAATTAAGTAATTGTACAGAGTGAGTTAAGTACTCTAAAAGATTTTAAGAGGTGATTTCTCACACAAATTCAAGACGAAAATTTCATATGACGATATGTCCTTTAGTTTCAAAAATACAGGGTGTCAAAGTTGAAGGAAAAATTTATTTCCAGAAATTTCGAAAATTACTCGGGTTATTTTGATGAAACTTTATGTATGTTTGAACGACATGAAGACTGATCTTTTCGGGCCATATATTATTTTTTATTCAATCAGAGGCGGATCCAAGCATAAGCAGATGAGATAAAGTCTACGAATGAAAAGAAGTCTACGAACTTAAATTTATTTTTTTTTCTCCAAAATGATTCTATCGAAAATATTAAAGAGATCTTTTTTTTTGTTGATTTATCTCATTTATCATAAAAAAGTTTCAAACTTAAAAAAATCAGTGGTGTACCAGTTTTTTTTTCGTAAAAAAGGGTACCCGCTTATCCTTAGGTGCGTCCCTGATTGAATAAAAAATAATGTATGGCCCTAAAAAATCAGGTCTTTATGTCCTTCAAAACCCTGTATTTTTTAAACTAAGCCGTTTTGGTCATATGAAGTTTTCGTCTTGAATTTGTGCAAGAAATTACCCTTTAAAATCTTTTAGAGTACTTAACTACCACCCTGTATAATAACGTCATTATCCCACTCTCAGTCCCCATCCCACTCATATAACTGATGAGTATTTCGAGATAAAACGTCTAAACAAATTGCTCTAAAATCTAAACAAAAAAAATAGGGGAACCTGGAGCATAACGGACTACGGAGCACAACAGGATATGGTCGATAACTTTTTACAGAGATGCTGCTATGTGATGAAATGTTTGGAAATTATTACTCTTAGATGGCTCCAACCGCGTATTGTTATTAGTTTTTATATTATTTTTGGCTGAAAGATACTATAAATTGTTTAATGCGTTCGGTGTGCTCTCCGCGACTGATTGTGAGTTGCATCAGTTTCTTTGATACATTTGCATAAGATAAGCGCAACAATAAAATTCTATTTTTGGTAATTATGCATAAAAGCGACGTCCTCTCCGATGACCTTGACCTTGACATATGTTGTGAAGGTCACTCTACTGAGTGACCTTCAAAAGGTTTTAGCCGTTGATCATTGTTTATTAAAAAGTTATAAACAAAAAAAGTTTAAAAAATATAGCAGCTATTTTGAGTTTTGGAAGGCATAAACGACTAATATAACGTCTTTTTTTTAAAGCAGAGAATACTTTATTTCGCGAGAAAGTCGTTGCTTTACCAAAACACAACATTTAAAGCAGTAAATTGTTGATAAATTGAAGTCTTTTTGTTAATGCAGTGAATACTTACATAGGTTAGATGACGCGCTTTACTAATATTTAACTGTTTAAAGCGCGTCACTAATCTACATAGGTTAGATTACGCGCTTTAAACTGTTAAATATTAGTAAAGCGCGTCATCTAACCTATGTAAGTATTCACTGCATTAACAAAAAGACTTCAATTTATCAACAATTTACTGCTTTAAATGTTGTGTTTTGGTAAAGCAGCGACTTTCTCGCAAAATAAAGTATTCTCTGCTTAAAAAAAAAGACGTTTATATTAGTCGTTTATACCTTCCAAAACTCAAAATAACTGCTATATTTTTCAGACTTTTTTTGTTTATAACTTTTTAATAAACAATGACCAACGGCTAAAATGCTAAAACCTTTTGAAGGTCACTCAGTAGAGTGACCTTCACAACATATGTCAAGGTCAAGGTCATCGGAGAGGACGTCGCTTTTATGCATAATTACCCTTTTTTTTATTACCATAATAGCGCATTTACGTTATTAAACGACCTTTTCTTGTCAATTTAATAAAGTATTTGTATAAATATTAATTATCTGTGATGATTTATATTACCTAAAGTAAACTTATATTCATTTCGTGGCATAACGGGGCATTAGTATACGGTAATAATGCCTTGTGTTCTTCAAATGTTTTTTTGTACGCTATCAATAAATACCTATGTTATGTTGCGCAATATAGATGCCAAAAATTATTGCACCAAATTTTGATTTATATTTTGATTAAAGAAAGTATACTGTAATAAAAAAAGCGTTATTAATAAATAATTATTATTACTTAAAAGTGTAATAATACATTCCTACATATATTGTGTGTTCTAATAAATCATTTTTAAAAAGTTTTGAATATTAATGAACAAGTTTTATGAGGTATTCCATTATACCCCGCATAAAATGCATAATAAGGAAAACTCACGTTTTTTAATGTATAAAACAATAATTTCGTCTTTTTAAACTATTTTTTTGCGGTAAAACTTGTGTTTTTCTTATAACAAATATTTCAAAGAATAATTTGGTGCAAAATCAAGTTTATTTACTTATTTTTAATATGTTTAAACTTCTTAGCGTTCCCATTAAGCCCTGGATTCCCCTACGAAGAGAAAATAGAATAGGATTGCTACACAAGCTGTGAGTGGATTGTTTGTAAGATAAAATTATCTAATGGAAAAATGTAATACGGGAGAAAATCGGACTTCAGCTATTGTTGATAGTAATGGAAGAGATAAAGACAGAAAATTAAGACCTAAATAGATTAGTTAATCCAAAATGCTGCAAGTCGACCTATTATCTATTTACATTTCTAATTAGTCACATGCTCACTTTTGTACTTCAGTTCTGTTTCTTTGGCATTAGCTTTTATACTAATATTTTCTATCTTTATATTTATAAGCTTACTTTATAACTATTTTGTTCTCTCTTTTTTCTCCTTTTTCTTTCTCTAATTTAATCTTATGCGACTTAATATACGTTTGTATATTTTGTTAATACAAAATATTACACATCCATATATCTTCTCTGAGTAATGAAGAAGTGAGAAAGGAGAATTGATTGTGCATAAGATGCGTTTGTATAGAAATATAATCGCGATTTTCTAACAATAAAAAAAATGAAGAATGTCGATTATTCTTTATACAAACGATATACGACAAGATAAATTACGAGAATTTTAAATGCTACAGATGAAATGTTGGACCGAATCGTAGAATTTACATGAAGAAGTTATTGTTATGGTCAAGAAATAATTTTTGCGCCTGCAAATAATCGTTCTACGGTATGCAGTTCAATGCGCAAACGTATGTATGGTGACCTCCCCATAGGCGCACGCAAAATCAAAAGTATAATTGTTATTCTTTGTCATCGTATATTCAAGATATATTTAATTAGAATCTGATGTAAAATTACGAGGTATCAGGATCCACCACTGGATATCGCGTAGACTACTAGAAAAATTTCCAAATAGAATATAAATAGAATTGTTTTGATGTCTAGTGTGAATGATAAACGCAATCGAAAATAAAGTCTTTTTATTTGCCTACATAGATAACATGTCAAGTGTGATATTCAAGTATTTTTTAGACTCAGAGATTTAGATTTACTTATATTTATGAATTTATATTCCTTAATTAGTCATTTAATTTTACGCGCCTATGTTAGCTATAATCGCAATAAAAATATAAACGCGAGAATTACAAGAACAAGATACAAAAAGTACAATAATAATATTTATATTAATAATTTATATATTTATAATAATAATTTGTAACATTTTAATTATTTATATTATTATTATTATTATTAAAATGCGATAAGCAGCGAGTAAGTGCGCGCGAGCATATTTCCCTAAGAGGGTACAGCTTACTTTAGTTATTCCTAAAAATGAAAGATATAAAAGATAGCAAAAGTCATCTGCAGATCAATCCACAGTTCTAGCGATGCTTATCTCGATTTCTTAGGAGATGTCTTAGTAGGTTTTCGCGTATTCGATCGGTAAGCACGTGGAATTCGAATACTCGTGATGAGCACGCGAGCAATTAATACCATATTCCGCTGCTCTCGACGGTATTATAAATGTTTACGACGCGGTGCCGGGCGGCGCGGCTACAATTAATTCGAGTCGAGTTAAAGCTGCAAAGAGTACATACCTGGCAGCGAACCAAGATGTTGTGCTGCAAACGTGTACACACACGACGTAGTTGTCCGGATTTTCATCCGACGTGCGGACCAACTTACCGTACAGCGAACCGGTGGACAACGGCCTCATTTGCCGGAGTTACCTTTTCCCGCCCCGCCAAACTGCACCAACCATGCCCAACACCCGGCAGTAATAGCGCAATAATACCGTAGCTAAACCGTACGGTATAAAAAGAAACCGAGTCAACGGAGAAGCCGGCTTTTGGCTCATTGTCAAATGGCACTCGCGTTGAACTCCTGAATATCCATCGGATACTTCATCTCCGTTCAACGATTGACTTTTTAATCTCGGACGAAGTATGCTCGTTCCTCTCGATCGTGAAGCAGAAAAATCGATTAGATAAGTCGATTTACGTCGTGGTTATTTTATTGCTACCGGCTCGGCTCTCTCGTATAGATGGACTACTAAAGATTAGACAATAAAAGTCGACAATAATAACATACACAATGATCTTTACGGTGATGGAAACAATTAACGCGCGCGCGGAGAAGCTATTAATAGGTACATCCTGGGCCTTTCAAAACCGTATTTGTATATCTTTTCTCAAACACTCTAGCAGAAAGTTTATTAGGATTTCAGTGTAGGATAAATTTACACATTTTTAGTAAAAATTTGTTTGTATTAATAATTATTTAGTTATTTATTTTTAAGAGGAGAGGGGAGAGGGGTATTCGCTAAAAAATGGGCTTGAAAAATAGACAATTTTAAGGTTTTATTTATAAATAAAAAATCTAAAAGCTCTTGTAGTTTTGCATATGTATTTTTTACTATTTTATTGTTATTTCTACCGAGTTTCATATAAAAATAACTAATATTTATTTAAACGTAACTCGTAAGGTGCAACGTTTCGAAATATTTGTCCCCGATGGTTGCCATATCTCGGTCATATAATTGACCGATTAAGGATCCTGGGTACTCGTCGCGGCCATGTTGGAATGTGACGTCAGAAGCAAGAAATGACACGAAAATTCTTGCGTATAGTATTTCCAAATAAAAAGATATTTGGTTAAAATAATACTACAGATCACTTCAGCACACTTCAAAAACACTCCGAGTTGAGGTTAAGTCTACCCCTTTCCCTTGACAATTAATAAGGTATTAAGTAGGTTTTTTACGAGAAAAAACATCCCAAAAATTGCTTACTTTTGAGCGAACACTTCCTTAAATAAAAATATACGAGCATCTATAATCAAATAGTTATCTTCAAATATCCAATTTGTCAACCTGAAAATTTGTTTAAATAATGTCTTACCTTTAATCCTTGAAACATAATAATTCTGTCAATCTTAGGATGAAAAAAGTAAATATTAATATCTATCTACATATTGTAAAAATAGTACTTATGTGTTTATGAATTTTCTTTCAGATGAGATTAAACAGAAAGAGAGAAAGAAAAGGGGAAGGAAGGAGTGAAAACAGAAACTATTCGTTGTAGACAAATCAAGAGAGCATAAGGCCAATTTGTGGGTAAACCTGGAGATATACATTATTTATTAAGGCTAGACACGCGCGAGAATAGAAACGTAAATATCTGCGTTTTCCGGACCGGAAAGAAAGTTTTCTTCAGAATTTAAAGAAATTCGCGGCTTTAATAAATTCGCGTCGTCTGCTCGCGTAAATTAGCGAGCCCACGCAAGCGAAGTGCGCGGAATTAATTCGCCGTTATAGTTCGGTGCCGGTTTCTACAGGATCGTCCAAACGAAAACAAAACGCGCGTGCGACACATGAATTATCGCGCCAATGATTTGGTTATTAATAGGACAATAAGTGTGATAAACGAAACTAGTTTGAAAATAAAAGCTCTCTTATCTTTCCAGTAATATTATATGACTGTTCTCATATATATATAATATATCGTATAATATTAAAAATATATATTATTCATACATTTAATATTATATAGTTAATATTAATTAAATATATTCTATATTTAAAATATATTTAAAATAATATTATATATTTAACTAGCTGGTTACCCGGGCTTCGCCCCGAAGGACATGAGTAATAATACACGCAAATAATCTTACTCAATAGTCTCTCTCTCTCTCTCTCTCTCTCTCTCTCTCTCTCTCTCTCTCTCTCTCTCTCTCTCTCTCTCTCTCTCTCTCTCTCTCGCTCCCTCTCCCTCTCCCTCTCCCTCTCCCTCTCCCTCTCCCTCTCCCTCTCATGAAAAATTGGATTATTTTACACACATATTTTAACAAAACTTTGGCGTCATTCTTTTTTGTGTAAATTATTTCTTGGAAACTTTTCTTTTCATTTATCCAAATTTTTAATGATAATCTTATTTATATAAAAATCGAATAAGTTGTTTCTCTCGTTTTAACTGCAGGTTATTGCAAGAAAACTCCAATAACTTTTCTATCACTCGCGACAGTCATGTCCGTTCTAGACTGGAGGATGAGCCGACTCTCGGCTCATCTGTCTTCTATAGTGTACGTGACATAAACTATACATAAACTATAGATTTTTACCCATCTACACCACTCACTCGGATGAGCCGAGAGTCGGCTCATCCTCCAGTCTAGAACGGGCATCACGAAAGCCACGAATTGAAGTGACTGTTCACATATGTGAAATAAACAACTTATCCTACATAAAAAAATAAATTGTTATCGAAAAATAATACACATCGTGGCAATTAAACCCATCCTCGAAAAATTAATAAAATTTTTGAAAGATCGGTAACGAAAAACTAATACAGTTTATAACACTTTCCGAGAAATTCTACCTCTGTTTTATATACAATTCTTTAAGATTCGATCAATTATTTCCCGAAAAATTCAAAAAGTTTCTGATAACAATTTCCAAAAAAATCGGTAACGAAAAATTATACACTTTATATCACAAAATTCAATTCTTTGAAATTCGGGCAATTAATTCCCGAAAAATTGGAAAAATTTTGATACCAGTTTCCAAAAAGATCGGAAACGAAAAATTATACACTTTATATCACTCTCCGGAAAATTCTATCCCTATTTCATATATAATTCTTTGAAATTCGGTCAATTATTTCGCGTAAAAATTAAAAAAATTAGAAAAACCGGTTTCTCCAGAAGATCGGTAACAAAAAACTATACATTCTATAGCACTCCCCGGAAAATTCTACCCCTATTTTATATGGTTTTAATACAAATCCAGTCCAATAGTTTTTAAGTTAAAAACGTTCAAACATACACCACTTGTAAGAATTGAAAAAATTTTAAAAATGGGTTTCCAGAAAATAGATAACGAAAAACTATACACTCTATAGCACTCGCCGGAAATTTCTACCTCTATTTTATATGGTTCTAATATAAATTCGGTCCAATAGTTTTTAAGTTAACGTTTTTTTTTATTTTTCTAATTCTTACGGGTGGTGTATGTTTGAACGTTTTTAACTTAAAAACTATTGGACCGAATTTGTATTAAAACCATATAAAATAGGGGGAGAATTTTCCGGGAAGTGCTATAAAGTGTATAGTTTTTCGTTATCTATTTTTTGAAAACCGATTTTTTTAATTCTTTTACCTGTAAGAATTAAAAAAATTAAAAAAATCGGTAACGAAAAACTACACACTCTATAGCACTCCCCGGAAAATTCTAGTCCTATTTCATGTACTTGTGGTAAAAATTCGGTCCAATAGTTTTCAAGTTATTAACGTTCAAACATACACCACCCGTAAGGATTTTATATAATAGTATAGATATCATTATGTGATAAATTAGTCCCTTCCATAATTTCCACGTGATGCTATCATTCAGTTTCACGTTTAATACATACATACGTATAGATATATGTGCAATATATATGTATAAAGAAAATATTTTTACATCACACGTGCGTGGAAAGTGGCACATTACGCGCGTGACACGCTCGTAATGGGCCACTTTCCACGCACTTGTAATATAAAATAGGGTGTGCAACACGTGTGTTAAGTTGAAAATTGAACGTGCGGGTGATCGCACTCGCCTCCGGCTCGTGCGTCCACTCCGCACGTCCAATTTCCAACTTACAGCACTTGTTATACAAATAACTATTCTAGAATAGGATCTCAATTTAATATTAACGGCTTAAACAATAATTAAATAATTAATTTAATTAAATTGAGCAAATTCCGGTATGTGAAGATATAAAGCAGGAAGTAAAATCAGAAGGTAAGAAGCACGTTTATTTGTTCTGCGACACTGATATACTTTGCTCATCTCCAAAGAAATGCATTCTTATTGGCATGTTGATTTTGAAGCAGCCTGTAAAAAATCGACTCTCGAAACTTTACTTCCTGGACGTTCGTTACGAATGGCCGAGTGTCCGATGTCCGACTGACCGTGAGTGCCGAGCGCGAAAAGAGCATCGCGTTGCAACTGAACTGGGCTTACAAACAGGAGCTTGCGAAATAAGCAAAGAACCGTGAGGCCAACGCTACGTTCATTACCAGGATTTTATTATATCATAGAAATAGAAATCATTTATTTACATATTTGATTTACGTATAATTGGATTCACAGATAGGATAGATATATGTATATTCATACTGCATACAAAAAATCTATAATACACAATCTGACAAAAAAGTTTCTAATAAAATAAAAAAATTGCAATACGTAACATAAAATCAAATAAACGCTTTTTAATTTTCAATATATTCCCCGGCAACGTTTACACATCGATGACATCGCTTGTACAAATTTTGGAATGCTTGTTTAAATGTACGTGTCGTAAGAGAGGCTGTTGAGTTCGGCGGTTGCATTTCTTTGACTATCATTGACGTTCTCGAAATATCTTCCCTTCCGGACGGTTTTCAGTTTGAGGAGCAATATAAAGTCCGCAGGGGCCAAGTCCGGAGAGTAGGGAGTGTTCCAACACTGATATCTCCTTCTTTGCCAAAAGCGTCTTTACAATGATACTCGAGCTGCGCGGGTGCGTTGTCGTGCTGAAAACGCCAACTGCTGCGTTCAGCGAAGTTCGGACGCCAAATTCTAGCATTTTGAATGTCACAGTTGCATTTTTTTCCAAATTTATAGTAGAACTTAATGCTCACATACGCTGTCCCAATTTTAACGTCTTTGATATTATGTATCGATACACATACGATGAAAATGCGCTATGAGTCGCAACCAATTCTGACGAAGCTTTCTACTAAATTAAACAAATGTCTCAGCTATAATACTTCACCCGCGATTCAACAATATTGTCATCCTGGCGCGCGCAGTATTGCCAGTCCCGAAACTTTTTTTTTGGACCATATGTATATATCTTACTAAAAATCTATAATATACAGGACCGGTCAAAAGTATTCGCTTAATGGAAAGGAAAATCATTATTTTAATAAAGAAAGACATACATAAATGTTATAAATGTTATAAAATTTAATTTTAGTACTGTTCTTTTATGCTTTGATAGGAATATTTTAAGAAAAAAAAACAAAGATGTTAATGATTTAATTAACATTGAATAATTATCGTCAATGATAATGTATGATTATATGTACTTTCTTCATTAAAGTAAAGACTTCTCTTTCCATAAATAATACAATATTTTTTTATCTGTATATGAGTACTTACACGCGAATAATTAAAAAAAGAGTGACAGAGG